AAAAAAAAAAAAAGACAGTCATTCTCAGATTTCAAATTTTAACTCCAAAAATACTGAGAATCACCAATTTGTGACAGCTAGTTTCTGTTTTGCAGTGACATTTCTTAACATTATTTTTTCTCCCCAGCACAGAGCCAAAAGGGTGTTGTAAGCTATTATTTTCTATAGGAGTGGTTCTAGTCCAGAGAGTCAACAATTAACTAATACCTGCAGTGCTTGGCAAAGTGGCCAATTTCTGCAAATTCTCCAGTAGAAGGCCCAAGTTTGGGAAAGTCTTCTTCACAGCCTGGAGGAGTTTTACCAAACTCTCAGCAGTCAGGGTCTTCCCTTCAGTCATTCTGTGCAACAAATTTTCTATCGTCTCCTTGGGTGTTCCGCCCTCACAGCAATTCAGAATCACCTGCAGTGGCAAGCAATCAACCAGACACCAGTTACTGGCAATTCGAAACTTATCTGACACACCACCGGAAAACCCAGAGATGGCATTACGAAGATGCCCCGTTTCCCAGTCCTCTTACGCTGTTCTCCAGCACTATTTTCTGTTTTCATAGTTTCTTCCTTGTTTCAATAAAAATCCAAAACATTCTCCAAACAAATAACTCCGCAAAAATCTTTCTTTCTCAATTGCAGGTTTGTGTATATTCTCTGCTGCAAACAGCTTGTGTTTTGTGGAAACATTCTTAAACTAGGCCTATATGATAAGCAAAGTAGCTTGTATCTTACTTAGTTCTTTAGTTTGTTTAGACACTAAGATTGAGAGACACAGTCTGGCAGTTAATTAATATGGTATAATGTTTTTCAATCTCTGTTCAGTAGTTCATGACACTGGTAGAGGTTGTAATTTCAGAGTAATTCTACTATTTTACTTCCTTCCATTATATTTGCATAGTAATTTGAGTACCCAGATAATTTAGAGTCTGTAGACTCTAAAATAATAGATTTTAAGTGCCTTTTTGGATTATTTTTCTTGTGAATTCTTTATTATCCATTTCTCTCATTCCCAACGGCCATATGCATTAGTCCCAGTCACAATTCAACACTTCTATACTCACTCGTCCTTCCTTGGCATGCTAGAGGATTTTCTGAGTCAAAAGGGCACAGAGCTCCAGCAAAAGGTTGAAAAATAAAACACGTGACAGACATTTTATAGATATTTTCCTATTAGAATAGAACGATTTCTTAATGGACTACAATGTAGTATGCATCCCTTAGCGCTATGAAACTGATAAAGCAGGGGATTATTTCAATATATGCAATCTACAGATCCACAGTCACTGAATTTTGAGCTTTCCTTTGGGAAAATGCCAGCTCTCAAGAGAAACAGTCAAGCAGATCAATCATGATAGTATGCCAGAGGCCGCCATTATCAAATTAACTTCCATTTTAAAATAATGAATTTAGTTTTAAAACCAAATTGGCTTTATATGTATGAAAGGAATACATATATAATAAGTCAAGCTGTCATATTCCTTGTCAGTACGAACAGAGTCTCTGTCTTTGTTTAAGGTCTAATATATAGATTTCCATTAAATACTAAATGAATCATAATTTAAAGTTTAAGAGTTTGTCTCTAAAAACCATACTGATTTCACCACTTAATCTTAGCTTTTAGGCAATAATCTGATGCAAAATGAGGCAGTCAATTACTGTTAAGAGTAGGTATGGGCTGAAAGCCAGTGAGACCTGGTTTGAACCATAGCTCTAACATTTATTGCCTTTGTAACCTTGGGCAAGTTATTGGATTCACTGACCCTTATGTTCCTAATTTGCAAAAGCAGATAACATTACCAACTCTTGTGCAATTGATACGAGGATTCTGTAAAGTGAAAGTACTATTTACCGAGCCTAGCACAACTCCTAGGGCGCAAGTGATCTTTAACAGAAAAATAAAGTTCTGTTAGGGTACCCATTCCACATGAAGTCGAAATACTGTGGTGGGTCAACATTCACCCCTACACTCCTACGTTGTTAGTGTGAAGCTCTGGTGGAACCCCAATCTTAAGAAGTGTTTTTGTGATTTATAACTAATTTAAGTTCTTCTGCTTCAGCTTTCTCTATCAAGTAAAGTGAAAGTGACAGAAGAAAATGACACTGTGGTCTATCTTGCTGCAGAGAATGAAGCTGAGCTTGGGCCCTACCTATGAAGGCCGTTTTGCCAAGATAATGAAACGGTTCAAAGGACACATCCAATCTAGCTAATCAGGAAAAGGTCTGAATGAGTAATTGAATGAAATCACTAAAGAGGGAACAAGGAATTTCTAGAGATACAAGCAATTTACTTAAACAGAATGCCTGAAATGACACTTAATCTGAAGTCTAAGGAAAAAACAGAAGTTTAATCTTTTCTTTTTTGTATTATTATCTTTCTCTAAGAAGTCAAAGGACTTAAATTCTGAAAAACAGAATTAATTTGCAAAATACAATTTTGAGACAGACAGTTACTTCTCTTACTTATATACACATACATGTGCAATATAAGATTACTGAGCAAATAAAATCTAGGATCCAGTCTGCGCTACAAATCCAGGGCTTAGTCATTATACCAATGGTTTCTAAAAACATTTAAGTCACTTCCCATGGTTTTAAGAATTGATGCTGCTTCTATCCCTATTCTTGCTTTCCAGATATAAAAATATTTTTAGCACAAAGTTGAAATCAATAACACCAACAAATACAGTTACCTAGTTGTCCTGAGAAGCCATGCCAGCAGTTTTATGAGGATTTTAGTAGCTGGCTGGTGGGAGAGTAAATTGGCACAACCTTCCTGAAGGGCAGTTCAGCAGCATATATCAAACACTTGAAATTTTTTACACTTTCTATTCCAAAATTCCACCTCTTAGAAATTTGTCTAAGGAAATAATTTAAGAAGTATGCACAGATTTGTGGGCAAGGATGTGCTCTACATCATCACTTAATTATACCAAAAAACCTGCAAACAATGGCTGGTCCAAAGGTAGTGAGTGATCTCACTTGACTGTTCACGGTCAGTTACAGATTGAACTCCTTGTTCTACTCTTGCCGCTTGTCTCACTACTGCACTTGACTGGTCTTTAAAAAAAAAAAACAAACCTGCAAACAAACATCCAGCATGTATGGTATGGCCATCAGACAGGATACAATACAACTATCAAAATCCATGTCATAGGTATAGTAATGTATTGACAAATTAAATAGAAAACCAAGTTAAAAAACTGTATGTTTGGCTCGGTGCCTGTGGCTCAAGTGGCTAAGGCACCAGCCACATACACCTAAGGTGGCGGGGTCGAATCCAGCCCAGCCCGCCAAACAACAATGA